TCATCATCATCATCATCATCATCATTGTGCCTCCAACTCAAGGCGGTCATTCAAGGTCAGTACTCTAGCTCTCGTACGATCTTCCATTCTCGCGTTGCGATTTCATCGTTTCTTCTTTATTTTTCCTTTGCGAACCACGGATCGATGCAGTTTTTCCCTCCCTATCTGTTTGTTGCACGATTGTGTGTGGGTGGGTAAAAAGGGAAGGTGAATTTAACGGGGCATGGCGCGCTTTGGAGAGATGGAAAGGCAAACTGCTCGGCATTGGTTGTGGTTTGTACTAATCGTTCGAGGCGAGAGTTCGATAGGGTAATTGCGCTGCTCGTGAAGTACGTGTATGTACAGTCAATGGATCTTTGGTCGTGTGTAAAGTGAATTTTCGAAAGAGGGAAGACAAAGATTCGGTGAAAACGAGTTTCTAATTTCTTTTTTCTCGTAAAACTTTTTCCTTTTTTCCACTCGAGGAAAACAAATCTACTCGAGAATAACGGGAAAAACGAATTAAATGTTACGTATCATCGATAATCCATTTCGAATCTATTATAGAAAACAAATTTTCGCGCCGCTCGTGGAAAATAAATCGAGAATAAAAGAAATTGAATAAGGGAAATGAGAGAAAGATGGAGAAGAGTTATTTGAGAAAACAGGCGAGCGTTGGAAGATCGTGGAGTGTTTGGCAATCGTGGTTCGTCGAATCATCGTCGAGCCACCCACAGTTTTGAAAAAAAGTATTGGAGCTATCGTCTCGTGACTCGTCGAGTGCACTCGAAACGAATCCTACCAATCGGAAGGATCGACAAAGGGAACGAAATCGATCTCGTTTGGAGGCAATCAAGCGGTGGTATTCGACACCAGGCGCCTTCGATTGTAAGAGTCGCACACCTTATGCTCGAAGAGGTGTCGAGTCACGGTGCACAATGTGCACGCGCCTTAATTAAGCTTATTTAATTACCTTTGCAGCCGTGACCGTGAACCTCTTCCCATCTATTTACCGATCCAAACCCGCTTCGTTTTCGTTGGAATATTTACTCGCGTTCGCGTAACCACGATTCGCTCACGAAATCGTGCTCGATTTTGAAAGATATCGATGGATATCCATCGATTCATAGAAATTCCATTAACGTTAGTTAAAATAATAGCAACGGCATGTATGAATATCGATTTTAAATATTTCTCGCCAATTTTGCAAATATTCAAATGTGGATACATTTTATTCGCGAAAATTGTACACAAAGAAGAAGATATCGGAAGATATTAGAATAAAGAGAAAGGAGAAACTTTAATCCGAAATATTTGATTTTGCAAGGGGATTATCGAAACGTAGACCGCGGGGCTAATTAAAAGTCAAACGCTTTCGCGATCGATGGGACGAATCAATTTCGAAAATGGTCGTCTTGCGTCAACGAAGAGTCGTGACCGACCCCACCCGCGATATTACCGAACGGAACGGCCGCAACGTTTGGAAATTATCCGTCGACTCAAGTAGCAGTTTACGCCCATTTTAAATTACAGGTAGGAGCGCTCGATTACGCAGTCGGCTAGAAAACAACGAAATACAGATTCCCGATATTCTTTTCTAAAGAATCGGATATTGATTTTCCAACTTGTGACGCTTTTGCTCAAAAATGAAAAATGAATAAAAAAAAACCGAGAGTCTTAAGAGAGAATGGCAGTCACAGAGAAATCGTGGCGAAATAGAATCGAATCGAATTCTACATTTATCACGACAATTTTTCGATTCGATCAAAAATCGCATCGAGGAGAAACAAGCATAGCCGACAAGTGGCGCTGCTCGATCGGATAGTTTTCAGCTTAAAAGGAACGGTGCAACGAACTCTACCTCCAACTGTATGAAGCAACGAATTAGGAAAATCGGAGATCCCGAAAGGAATCCCGTGTACACCACGCGATCGTTCCCTTTTCCGATCGTTGGGTTGCAAATTGGCCGGGCCGGCGCTTCCTATTGCATGCCACGAAATATTATCAACAATTTCCAAGTAATCAGCGCGGAAGTGGAACGTGGAGGCGCAGGGTCGCGCTCGAACGGGCCACGTCGTCGCTCCGTACACCGAGGCAATCACGAGGCCGGGATGGACGGAGAAGGATGAACGAGGAAGACGGGGGGGGGAGGGGAACAAGGGGGAAGAGGAACAACGAGCGAGATGCTTACGTCAGTTTTCTGATCGTGACTGGCTCCACCCTACGTTACCGACCGAGAGAGGCCAGACCGTGCCATTATTACCCTATTATATCTTGCATAACAGTAACAGTGAACGAAGTGAGCTATTACGCTGCTCGTCGTGGGGGTGGATGAAAGAAAAGAGGAGAAAGGAGGCCGTACGTTTCACGGGGAGGAGGGCTCGCCGTGGGTCGATGCGCCTTGGATGGAAAGAAAAAAGAATATTCATCATTCGCGATTCACGCCGTTTATAATCGATGCAACCTTGATGGGATTGAGAGAAAATTAGATCCTCGTGTATTTATCATATATACCGATATCGGCCGTTTCCTGGTCGAATGTTTGCCGCGATCACTCTGTTCTAGAGTTTCGATCAAGGGAAGGATTATTTGTTCCGAATCTTGGTTCGGAATCATTGCATCTTTCCAATGACGACAAAAGCGAATTAACGCGAGTAAAATATTCATATCGTTGAAAGCTTATTTCTTTCTCAGGTGATTGAACTTTACCGATCTATTCGACGATCCCAAAAATGGCGCGTCTGTTATTGAGAACGATGAATAAGTTTGATCCTTGAAGAAGTTGGTTGAGAAGAAGGAAGTTGGACGCGTGATTAGTACAAAACGATGACGAATTAATTAATACGATATACGAAATGACGAAAGACTATCTGTTGTCAGTTATTAATTGGCCTGTTGGAGAATCCTAACGGTCCCCCACGATTTGTCCCTGTGTAACTTATTTCTTGCCTCGCCTCTGGTATTCTCTCTCTCTCCCTCTCTCTCTACGAGGGCCGTGTATCACTCGCGCGTCAATGAAACAACGAAACTTACCAGATCGTTTCACATTGTCGTATACACGGTCGACCGGATTCGTTCCAAATCGAATCCAGAGATCTGTTCCCGATCTGTCGTGGGCGACTTTTCGTCGAGTCAACCTTTCCTTCTCTTTTATCCTCCGTTCTTACGTGTATATATATATATACACATAGATTCACGATATCATTGATTCGAAGTAGTTGGTGCGAGCGTAGATATCACGGAGACAAGAAGAGAGGAATTCGAAATCGGTCCTCCCACCTGTCACAAACCAGGCCCCGTCACGATACATCACGGATATCTTGGGATAATCGATTTATATCGACGCCTCGAATTCCTTTTGGAAACGGAACCACGGAGACATCGCGCTCTCGAAATGTCGGAAAAATTGTAGAAAATGTGGATATAGATTCGATTTCTATTTTATTCTCTCTATTCTTTTCTTCTTCTTCGTTATATTTCTTCGGATATCGGAAATATTGTTAGATCATTACGGACAGTTTTGTCGAGGAAATAACACTATACAATAAGACCTGTATTTTTTTTTCCTTTTTTTTTCTCGTTCCCTTTTTCGTTATTCTCCGTGGCTAAGTGAAGTTTGAATGGAATTTTCTACGAGCATAGAATGAAATAAATCGCGCGAGGAAAATCGGATTTCCGCGATTTTGAATCGAGAACTGTTGCAAACAGTTATCGTGAATTATGTATCTCCTTTTGAATCATTGTTATCGAGAGTAATTCAGCGGAGATCGCATCCTGTACCAGGCGGGCATCCATCGGGATTAAGATCAACGACACCTGACCTGTCGTCGAACACCGGAAGAGGAAGCCCATCGACCCATCGGCCACGAAAAAGAGGACCCCTTGTCATTCACTCGTGAAACACGTGTGCGTGAGCCATTAAAGCGTAAAACACGTGCGAGGATCCTCTGGTAAATCTGAGAATTTCGTGGATCCTCGTCTCTGAAGGATAATCTCTCTCAGGATTTTGAACATTAATTTGAAAAAGAAAATTTTTCGATCATTGTCTCAAGCGCTATATCAAAAAAAATTAAAAGATATTTCGTTTATCTTCGACGATTGTCAATCTGTCAAACAACGAAACGAAATGAAATGTATCTACGCTCGTCGAACAAGATACGGAAATTCCTTCATGGTTTTTAATTGAATCGTATCTCGAAGCGTTGCTGGAAATACCAATATTTATGCAGCAGTGTACGCCCACCGTGAAGAAAAAAATGAATAACAGAAAAGGCAGGTATAAGGTACGATCAACAATATCAAATATGTAAATCCATCGAGGATCCTCCTCGAGAACACGATCTCTACTTTCATTCGAAAAGTGCTCGACGCCGGCGTTCGTGAATCGTTCACCGTGTAGGTGAATCAGAGGCGCGTAGGTAAAGATCGCGCGCGATGAATTCGTAGAATAGAACGGATGTTGGGCAATCCGGAATGGTTGGCAGGTGCCGCTGGGTGGTGGGCGTCGTTTTACGCCAAATTCGATACGAAACCAGAATTCCCGTTCCTTTCTCACGAAACGAATTCCTTTACCTCTTCCTCGCGTTTCTTCATTTTTTTTTCCTTTTTTTTCCCTCTTTTTTTTTTGAACCTTTCTTTGCATCCCTCAGGTAAAATTCTTCTTCTTCCATTTCCTTCGAATCGAGAAATTTTTCTTCGCCTAAAATCTTTTCTTCGTTTTGTTGTTATTATTATTGGATCCTTGGATCTATTACATTCTTGCGAATGATCATTTACATTTCCTTTACCTTACGGTTAAGAGTTTCATCTATACTTCGTTTCAGATTTCTTGATTATTCTCTTTCATCCACGTGACTTCATACATAACATCGATCGCTACATTTAAAATTCTACACTAAAATGTTCGAGTATTTTTATTTTTCGACTCGTTATTAATAATCGCTCCGCCATCGAAATTTCCGAATACCAAACACCGGCTCACCGTCCACATTTAGACTTTCTGTCGTTGCATCGTGAACAAGTAGAAAAAAAAGAAAGAAAAAAAAGAAAAGAAAAAAAATAGGTTCGTATGGGGGGACGTCGCAGGTCCGAAGATCACGAACCGGCGCATATGGAGAGGCCGTGAAGCGGATGAGGGGTCAGAGTACTTCCTACACGCGGTGCCTATGGGGTACACCCATACGTGTACGCGATTACGTGGGCAACGACGACGTGTGGGACATCATAGAACGTGGCCACGAGGCAACGCACCACCTGTTGAATCTCTCGAGAGGGTCACAGAGGGAATACGCGCTTGACTGCGAGACAGGTAAGAAAGAGGAGAGGGAGAGAGAGAGAGATTCCACCATTTCGTCTTTCTTCCACAGTTCGTCTCTTCTTATCCGTGGCTCGTTTCCTCGGTTCCTTTTGCGTTAGTCATCGTTGCCTTTCGCAATACTTATTATCTTCTTAAATGAACCACGGCCAACGCTGGAAGCCGGCAGCTTCGGTAATTGGCCACGATGCGTTCGTTGATAAGCAAAAAACCGCGGATGTAAATCTTGCGCCGTGGCAAAAGTGTACCGCGAGGGCGTGCTGCGACTCGGTAATCATTCTAATTAAACGCCATTATTCTTTGGTACTCTTGGACGGATGATGTAATGAGAATTCTCGAAAGAAACGGTGAATTGAACGGTGAATTGCGTCTCGCTCGGAGGGGATATATTTTTGGAAAAGATAAATCGTACACGATTATACATATACAGTGGGCGATAACCGATCGAAGTTGAATAAATGTTTGGACGGGGTTGCAAATTAAAATTACTATTATTTCGAACTATTATTGAATCGATGAGAATCGATTTTTATAAAGAAGAAAGAAGAATCGAAAGGTAAACATTGAATTCGAAATCCCTGTGGATCAATAAACGCGATGGGCGATAAGTAAGCCATAATAAACACAGAGAAGAATTTCTCGGAATAAATTTCACGGCCTTTCGGTTCATCAACAACACTCGAGGTTTATCGACCGACTCGAGGCGCCTCGACCCTGGCCGAACAAAGACGTAAAGTTTCCACGATAGTCGAACAACAGTTTTTCCATCGTGCGATGATCCCAGGCGTGCGGAGGTGGGTCCGGCGTTTGTCTTATTAGAGGAAATATATTAATGTCAAAACGGATTACGTCGTACGTCTGCATCAACCTGTCGTGCGTCGAGATCTGACGCGCACACGTCTGATCGTGTAAGTACGTTCGAGGCTGCCCTCGAGCCTTTCTCGATCATCGTGGATCATCGATGGATCGATGTATACGTGCTCGCGCGCGCGCGCGCGTGTGTGTGTGTGTGTGTGTACGTATGGCGGGCACGGAAAGCGCACGATTACGCATCGCGACGGCTCGTCTCTCCCTTTTAACGAGCGTTATTCAATAATATTTAAATTTAATGAGCGGCTCGTAAACAACATTAATGAATCGAGAGGGATATATCGGTATTAATTAAAATATAATGAGACGAGTAATTATCGAAGGAGTCGTAAAAGAGTTTACAAGAGGCGATTCGTTGGATGGAAACGTTGGCGTATTTTTCGCGTTTTGCGATTGATCGATATCCGGAAAGACGATCAATCTTCGCTCTTTGGACGTAACGATGACGTTTCCTTCTCGGGAGGAATCATCGATGCCCGACGAAGGATATCTTTCTCTTTCTCTCTCTCTCGTTGAATAAACGAGCCTCGTGTAATTTACGAAATCGTTTTCCATCCAGTTACTATATCGTTTCGCCGGGGAACGAGGAGTGATTCATCGTTCGGGAGGGAACGTTGGCCAGGAAATGTGGAGTGTTTGCGGAGGATTATGCCGACCTACGCCGAACCTACTATTTTAATTTGCTGCGTGGACAATGGTGTTAATGGTACGATATTAAGTAAGCCTGTGTATATATCATTACCAAAAATTACATGGACAATTTGGACTATTGGAAAGTAACGTTAACATATTATATTCGTAGAATAAGAATAGGTGTTTTACAAATTCATCCTATTATCTGCTAAGATTTTTCAATTCTTCGATCAATTTCCATTCTTCTTGTTCGAGAATTTATTCAGACAATCCAATCAACCGTGATGATCCTTATTTATCGGATTTTACGAAAGGAAACCGTTCGAATTAAATTGAGGATCGATCGGGAAAGAAATTACAATGCAGAAATAAAGGATTGACAAAAAATTTCACGATATAAATTTCAGATAAATCTGCAATAATAAACGGGAGCCATATCGGACCGATATGGTCCAATCCGTTGCATCCACGTGGAAAAAGAATTACATCGAGCGCGTATCATCGAGATGACAGGATATATCGCGTTGAAACAATGAAGCCCAGCCTGTCGGAGTAAAATCGCGGATGAGATGGTGGCAAGAGGGATACCCTGATTCCCTCTCGAAGGTACCTGCACAATACTGCCTGAGCACCGGCGTGGGCGCACGAACCGCGTCTCAACCTGCTGAAACTCGTTCCGTGGTGGTAGGGCCTGACAACGAGTCTCCACGAGCAACGTCGGCTTCCGAGGACGACGGCTGTCGTGCCTACCGGCTCGAATCCGCTCCTCCGACACGTAGAATCGGCGCGAGCCCTATAAACCAGGATTACAGGTGACACGCCGCGTCGTAATTCTCCACGATTATTAAATTCTCCGATCGAGCTTGAAAATCGTAACTTCTTAGCTTTTCGCCTTTGAGAGCGTGCCTCGTTCTCGCTTCTGCTTTTCTCCGCCACTCCTTGTTACTCTTACGAGTTCCATCCGTGCGATCGGTGTACATCTTTGTGAGATGTCGAGGATTGAGTCGATATTGAAAAATTACTTTACGAATTACTTTAAGACGTTGGCTTTCTTTTTTCTTTCTTTTCAACAATTTCTCAAGCGATGCATTATATAACGGATTCGCGGGAACGGAGGATATCGTGGGGTGTAGCGACTCGACGATGCAACTCGAGTGGTAATTTGTCCGAGATGGGTCATTACGAACTTAAGACCCTCTCGTCCAGTACGGGACAGAGGTGTTTGGAGGAGGGCCTTGCGAGAAAGCGGGGCCTCGCTGACCCCATCGTGAACCGCGGCCGTCAAAAGTCGCGCGCGCGCGTGCGCGAGCACGGGGCCTGTTCGGATCCCTGGCAATTTCGGCGAGGGGCAAAAAGAGGAGGCGGGCGTAAAAACGCATCGGCGAAGAGAAGAGTGGCACGGTAGACAGATATATACAGATATATATATATATATATATACGCGCGGCGTGGATCAGCTTCCACTGGATGGGCCCATCCAACGTTCGTTCCATTTCGGTGAAATGGGCCTCGAGACACACCGGTTACCTCGAACGCGTCCACTGCGTTTCGGTTGGAATTTCTTCTTTCCTCCCCCCCCCCCTCCCCTTCCTCCCTCCCTCTCCCTCGACTTCAGAAGGTTAATTGGTTTGATGGGGGTCGCTGGGTATGGGTTGCGTAAGGGGGTAGTCGAGAAATTTTCATTGCACGAGAAAAAGAAGAGAGAGAGAGAGAG